TTATCATATCGCTTTGCGAAGCCGTCATGCTGACAAGCAGGAAGTAAGTTATAGTCATACATCAACCGGAGTAAAGCAGTGAGAAGTGAGAACAGATTAGGGTGGCAGCGTGAGGTAAAGTGAATGAAGGGGGGTGAGCGGAAGACGAAGCCCAGTTATAATTGCTTGCGTAGGCTGACATATGAATTTACAGGCTGAACTGGAGCTGTGCCACTCATTTAACACTGCTTATTTAGGAGCTGTGAGAAAAAAGCAGAAGAGATATTTTGCTCACTTGTTTCCTAAACCGTTTTATGCTCCTCCCTTTGCTTTGCTGTTTCTAAATTTGACTCCTCTTGCTCAAATGTAAGAAGCCAAAATGACACCATTATTTTGACTAGACTGTTTTTCCTCCCAGTGAGAGAGGCCAGAGGAAGTGTAGGTGACCTAGACTGGTTAACCACGGCACAGCCATGGGTAGGCTGGGGCATTGCCACCCCCGCAGCCACCCTTTGCATCCACTGCCTGCCAGGTCTACATTACTACTACTACATGCCATGACCACAAGTGGCTTCATTCCAGCGCCAGTCTCCCTTTGGGTCCACGCTCTGCGCTTTCTCTTTCTTCATTGGTGTAAACAGTCTGCTGTCTGGCCATCGGCTGTAACGGAGCTCATTTAGATTTATTTTACTGCCTATTTGTGTGTATGTTTACGTTGAGCCTGAACCAAGGATCTGCACGGCTCTTTCTTCTCAGTGCATGCGCACAATTCTACACGAGTGTTGTTTCTCTGCTACTTTTCCGCCACGAATTGCACCACTTTCAACCTCAAGCCCGTCTGGGAACCGTCAGCTGAGGAGTCTTGGCAAAGAAGCTTCAAGTTTTTTTAGAACCCAACAGTGGACAACTTCGCGTCTCCATTCAGGAAATCCGTAAAATATATGTGTACATTTACTAGCAAGCTTTACGGATGACATTTACAAACAACAGAACAATTCTAGCATAAGACAAGTAAACTTGATAACCACAAGTGAATGCTACTTTTGATAATGATTTCGACATACCCTGCGAAAACTCTCCACTAGATGTTGTCATCTGGTCTCAGCCAATTAGAAGGCACAAACATGCTTCAAATAAAAAGGAAGGAATGCATGCAAGGTTTCTTTGTTTTTCAAAATTTGAACTCGGTGTTATTTTGTTCACAAGGTCCACCATAAGCACTCCAGGCTGCACCTACACCCCACCACCCACCTCACTGGCTGTGGTACACTAACTGAGGTGTTTCGGGCCATTTCTTAGTAGCAGCAACACTCAGGGTGTCGGACGGAGACATAATAGTTGGTTAGACCATAAATGTCTTATTTGTTTACATTTGTCTGACAGCAACAATGGTTTTCTTGGCAATGATGTATTTTCTTCTAATCCCTACTGGTTGGAAAATAAACTTTGTGGTAATCAAGAAGCAATTTTAAATTCACAGCCTTCTGACCACATGCAACTCTGTAACCATCATGCTGCCCTTAGGTCAAAATGACCAATGAGGTCTCAGTTTTAATACTGAGGCCTTGTGACTCATTTTGACTCTAGAGCAGTAGGCTGGTTAATGCAAAATGTTCATCTAAAAACTTTTATTTCTGTCACATTTAGTACTCCCAATTTATTCAGGGATTAAAATGTTGAAAAGTTTAAAGAAGGGTTAGTTGATAAAACAATTTCTCAATCCTTGAACATCTCATGGAGCACTTTGCTTCAACATACAACAGCATACAACAGTATGGCACAACTGCAAACCAACCAAGACATGGCTATCCACCTAAACTTAAAGATCAGACAAGGAGAGCATTGAACTAAAAAGCAACCTCATCGTAACTCTTGAGGAGCTGCAGAGATCCACTGGTCAGATGAAAGAATCTGTCCACAGGGCAACTTTCAGTCTATCGTAAAGTTGCATAATGAAAGCCATTTGAAAGAAAGCCACGAGAAGTTTTGTTTGCAGTTTGCTTCAAGTCATGTGGGGACACAGCAAATGTGTAAGAAGGTGTTCTGGTCAGCTGAGACCAAAATTGAACTTTTTGGCTTGAACCTGGAGCACAGGTTCATTCTCCAGCAGGACAATAACCCTAATCCTTCTGCTGCCCCAAAGAACTTGTGGAATTGCAACAAAACATGGTTCTACAAAGTATTACCATAATTCAAGGGAACTGGTTATAAATGCACATCACCGTTTTCAAATTTTTAGTTGGAAAATTAACGTGTAAAAAACAATGTATCATTTTCTTTTCACTTCACCGTTATGCTTTACTTTTCACTGGTCTACCACAAAAAAATCCCAGTAAGATAATTTGAAGTTTATGGTTGTGGGATGGCAAAATGTGGAAAAGTTCAAGAGGTTTGTTTTCATGGCACTGTAATGTTACATAACTTGTTTCATTTTGCTAAAAGATTATGACAGCTGAAGTATCTTGTCTGGTGGAGAAACGTAATGATGAGTCATTTAAAAATATATTAATCCCATTTTTTGCTTATGGCGAGACATAAGACCTGGTAGTGGTCTGACTTTATGCCTAACTTTCCATGTTTCTTCTCTGCGGTGATGACGGTGCTGATGTTAGTCTCAGTCCAGACGGTGTCATACTTTCCTGCGAAGCAGAAGGATTTTTCCCTGCATTCTGACAGGATCGTCAGTGTCACGCCAATTGATGATGTGTTTTAGTTTAAAAAAGTTTGAAGGCCAACTATGCTTCTTTTAGAGCCCATAGTTATATTTTGGGAGATATGTTTTGTTTAGTTTTTAATATACAGTAATAAGTTTTTATAGGGGTGTCAAACTCAGTTATCAAAAGAAGCTAACATTTTAAAACTTTGTCCAAACCACAGGCCACTTTCAGCTGAAACATTAACTTGAGTCAGATACCTGATATATTTTCTTGGTTGCAGGTTCATCAGCAAGAGTTTGATCTGTCTCACTTGACGTTCTGTTACTCTTTCCACATCAGAATCAATAAGGACTGAATGATCCAACCGTCTTTCTGGCTTCAAAGTTAGCCAGCTGGCAAGCAAAGTCTATGCTAAACGATGTATTTATCAGTTTGTTAAAGAAAAGTATTGGAAGAGATATCATATTTTACATTTAAATTATCATCTTTGAGGACCAGGTTTGGCCAGCAGTGTTATATTCTTAATTTCATGTTGTTCATCTTGCTAACAGTACCATGCTGCTAACGGGACCATGTTGCTAAGAGAACCTCACTGCTAACAGAACCACTCTGCTAATAGGACCATGCTGCTAACAGTAACAGTGTTTTTATAACAATAGTTTTTATTTGAATTGCTTTTTTATTGTTGTCTGTAGTAACTATATGTTGTCTGTCTAAAACAGGTCTTCTCATGAGGTACTTGTTTGTACTGATTCATCCTACTTGCACAGATGTATTTTATCATGTTGTTTACTATATTTCTTTTGGACCTTGTAGATGTTGTATTTCTTTTTCACTATTTGGTGCTTTGTTTTGTACTTTTTTTTTGCACGCTTTGGTATTTCTTGTTTTTTTTGTGGGGGCGAGTCGAGACAGTTCTTCTCGTCCCGAACATTTCATTGCATTGTTGACCATGTGTTGACCTGCATATATGACAAATAAACAATAAGCATAAACATTTCCCCTCTCTTCCACAACACATGAATGACCCAGTGTCTCTCGTTTCCCAAATTTTCCAACGTTGACACAGATTTGGAAACGTTTCCAGAAGGACGCTTTCAGAAAAAATGGTGCAATAACTTCACATTTTCCACTTACCATGCAAGTTTCAGTACAATAGGATGACTAATTAACTAACTATTTTGTACTTCTTACCATATCAGCAAGTTGTGCAATGTCTGGAAACACATATATCACTGATGTGTATGCTCAGCTCAACAAGAGTCAAAATTAATCTGAAGTAAATATAATAATAGACTATTTGATTAAACAGATATGGTACTGGATTGCTATTTGCATTAATGTCAACTAGGACTTTAAATTGAATCGATTTTTATTATTTAGGGAACAACAGTCTACTTCTTAAATTATAAAACTCAAACAGTGATGCTTGTTGTGTTCAAATACTCTTTTAAAGAACAATTTACTTATTATTTTAGTTGAGGGATTGGGTTCAAATCAAACTATCTTATACTTTGTATGGCTTTTGATTACAAAAATCTTAACACTTAAACTAAATTATCTCTTGTAATATAAAATGTGCAATACTTTCCTCTAAGTTAAAGTAAATAAAGTGCATAACAAGTTTGTCAACATTGTATTTAAGCATTTGAATTAATAGTTGTGCTACAACAAGGCTAAACATAGAGGTTTTATTTTAAGTTTTAAGATGCAAAATGATTTCCTATTGGTTGATAAAATCTTGGATGCGTTTAATGAGTACCTCTTAAAAGCAGTGTTTACTGAAGTGAGTCTAGCCTCAGTTTTAAAAGTATTTCTATGTTCAACCAGACACTTTGTGGCCAGACGACTGGCTGTTGGGGATGTGGGGAAAGTGGGCAAAAGAAGGAGCAAGAAAGGAGGTGAGGGAAAATGGGAGGAGCGTGTCTGGGTGTGGGACTGTCATCCCATGGAGGGAAGTAGCCGTGGTGTTTTGATCGAAATCCAGCAAATGTGGGAGAGAAGAGGGGTGTGAGTGAGTGAAGGAGAGAGAGAAATATTTCCACCCACCCAGCAGGGAGACACACTCATAAACGGCAGGCAAACGGACAGGGAGTCAGAAAGACACAACCTGAGGACAGCAGCAGTTCAGAGAGAGAGGTAGTCAGGAAGCAGCAGAACTTCACTCAGAAAATATGTTTTATTAAAAGAGAGGGAAAAGTCAGTGCATATATAAACACACACCTAAAATCTCCGAGGGTCAGATAAGAAGAAGCTGCTCAAAAGTCCTAACATTAGAGAAAGACAGAGCGAGAGAGAGCAATAAGAGTTTACTCTTTCACCCCCTATTTCAGACACTGGTGTTGGTGCAGAGTGTGTGTGCGACCCTGTGTGAGGGGGAGGAGGAGGGCTGATCGACCTTAACAAGCACCGCAGCAGGGAGGAAGGAGCAAGAGAGTGGATGGATGCCTTTTGCAGACTCAGTGGCCTGGACCCTCTGTGGGTGAGTTATGATGTGTTCACTGACCTTTTATGCAAACAATACACCTGTGGTGGTTTAAAAGGTTAGTTCTTATGAATATATTTTCTCTTTAAAGTGCATTTTATTTAGTAGTAGTAGGCATTATCCACATTATTAAGCTGTTCTTTGCCATTGGCTATGCTCATTAGTAAGGCTGCACACAATACTAAACAATTCTAGCAAAAAACTTAAAAACATGATAAAATCTGGCAACACATTTATGCAGCAAGAAAACCCCAATAGCATACAATGACCTCAGACTACATTCTGTACCTGTGAGAAATGGACTGTTTGCATTTAATGCATCTCAGAGGTATGTTTACCCATCACTCTGCTCTGTGAGTCGCTCGTCTGAGATGCTGAGTAAAGGGAACTGCATCAAACTGAGTGACCTGCTGAGTTTAGAAAGGCTTTTTAGTTTAGCATGTTAGCAAACCTCGAAATTCTAGATCCTAGCTCAAAAATAGAAAAATGGCCACGATCCAGCTGGAATCGAATGCACTTGTTCCTAGCACATGTCTTCGCCCCACTCCTCACTCCCTCTTTCGTTTTTGTTTCTGGATCTCATTACAGCTAATGCGCTTGTTTTTGCTTCTGCAAAACTTTAAAACAATGGCCATTAATTGTTTCGAGAAAGTAAAAGTGAACTACATGTTGTCATGTTCAACAAATGTTTCTAATAAAACCTAAAAAAACAGTGTGTTCCTCATTACATCTGTTGCAGCAAACTGGATGTTGTAACAGATGTTTTTTGTCCCATGTTGGCTGCACTGTACTTTGAGCTATTAGCTGCATCAACCTTTAACATACTTTTGAAATAGTATCACACCGAGTTTCTGGTTACAGCCTCAGGTAGTTTGGGGAAAAGTACTAGTTATTTCACATTAGAGTACTTTCAGATAAACAAAACCTAAGAGGATAAACACCATTCGGTGTGTTTTATTGTATTTTTTTGATGTTGAACTTGCATGCAAGACTTTCATAAACCGAAAATAATGTGGAAAAACCTTTAAAAGAAAAGGGCAAGAAATGTCAAGCCTGACTTTGTGATTAGTTAATTATGAAACACCTGTCTTGCATAAAAACTACATTTGTTAGCAGTTAGCAAAGTAAAATACCCTACAGTATATAAATGTTTATTAAGATATTGAAATACGTAGCGGGCAGCACGGTGGCACAACTGGTAGAGCTGCTGCCTCTCAGCGAGCAGGTCCTTGGTTCAAACCCCAGTCCAGGGGCCTTTCTGGGTGGAGTTTGCATGTTCTCTCCGTGCAAGCGTGGGTTTTCGCCGGGTACTCCGGTTTCCTCCCACAGACCAAAAACATGCATGTTAGGCTGATTGTTAACTCTAAATATTGTCCCTAGGTGTGAGTGAGAGAGTGAATGGTTGTTTGTCTCGTTTGTCTCTATATGTCCCTGTGATGGACTTGCGACCCGTCCAGGGTGTACCCCGCCCCTCGCACAGTGATTGCTGGACATGGGCACCGGCGACCCCCATGACCCAAAATGGAAGAAGCGGGTAAAGAAAATGGATGGATGGATGAAATACGTAGCATCAAACATACCATAAAGAAAAGTAGTTTACACAATTTCATCTACAAAACATTGTAGCCATCCCTGTGATGGATTTGTGACCTGTCCAGTGTGTATCCCACCTGATGGATGAAGGGATGGATGGATGGATGGATGGATGGATGATGGATCCATGGATGGATGGATGGATGGATGGATGGATGGATGATGGATGGATGGATGAATTGGATGGATGGATGAACTTGATGGAAGGATGGATGATGGACCCATCCTTGGATCCATGATGGATGGGTGGCTGGATGAATTGGATGGATGGATGATGGATGGACGGATGGATGATGGAACACTGTAGCCCATTGTCATTACTGTTTTGCGATTTATCCATCGTCCAGTCTCACCATGACTCACTTAGTCTCTACTCCGTTCTACACAGCCTAGGTCGTTTTCAATTTGATTGTTGCCGGTGGGCATGATCGTTAGAGCAAGGCTGCTCACCAACGGCATTACTTTCAAAATTTTCAACCTTACCTCCACTGGGTAAATAGTTGAAATAAAGTCACACTAAAATAATAAATAAATAAACACTCATTGTCCTCTGTTACAGTTTCCAAAAATGCCACCTTTCTTTCAACTCAAGTCTTTTTGGTCTAGCTCTAGCTGAATTCTGTTGTCAACAAGCATGAAAAGTCCTCACCTCTTCAAATTAGCACCGTGTTGGTTTACATGTTGCAATTTTAATAGATATATATTTGGTTTAAAAAGAAACTAACAAAAAAAATGCCGTAGTTGTAAGACTTTCAAAATGATGATTCTCGTGTCTCATGATTGCCATTGCTTTCTAGCCAATCAGTGACCTACATTCTGCTGAAGTCAAAGCTTCAGGTTAATTTGGCTTGCTTGGAACATCAGCTGAGTAGGTCCTAAGAACTCAGCTGAAGCAGGTGGATCACCCAGTGGAAAGACTCTGAACACATAGCGAGTTGACCCAAATAGGGCCGAGTCAAGCCCATGGAAAAGGTCGTCAAATAGGTTTTTAGTTCAACAGTAACTAAACTACCCCAAATGTGACTGAACAGCACTTTTGGACTTTACAGTGGCGCAGAGAAAACAATTCTCAACTCTCTACTTTCACATCACTGTGTTGGTCCAGTAAAAATAGACACCTTGTAGATGTTAGCATGCACAAATTTACAACAACCACTTCAGCAAAAGGTGAGAAACAGGGTGAGAACTGAGCAAAATGCAGAAGAAAGTGCTTAGAGGGGCTTTGACAGTTTGGACCTATTCATGAAAGTGCTCTGAACATCTGCCTGCCATTGACCACAGGAGTCAGAGGGAACTGTGAAAGTAGCCTCCCACTCGTTGCCTCCGCAGAGATTTATCGCCTGAACGGATCTGAGTCTACATGCAAAATGATTAGCCTGTTACATAACCCTAACCAGCCAAGGTTTGAAGATCCAAGAAGGCTTTCCTGCGTTTGGTACTTTTCAATGTATTTAAATTGCGGTCTCTGTAGTGAGGTTATGAATCAGTCCTTTTTGGTTCCAAAGACATGATACATTACCAACTGATGGTAAACGTTCAAACAACGAGCTGTAGCATCAAACTGCACGAAGCTTGACTCACCTGCTGCGGTTACACTCGTATAACTGTGGGAGGATCACTGTTGCATAATGATCTTGCAGCTGCCACCAATTGTGGTCACTCTACTTTATCCTAGTTGGGAGTCTACCAGCAGGACCAGACTCCTCTGCCAGGCTAGAAGCTTTATACCACTTCCTGTGGTGACTCCGCAGGGCAGTCTCGTAAGCACAGCCAGACACCCTGCCCCTCATTAGGCAAGTGAGGTGATAAAGAAGGGAAGCAAGAGAACAACAAACCAATTATGTCCCTATATTGTTTTCAGCAGACAACATTTCCTAGCTTTGCTTTAGTTGCATAACCTAAAACCTTTTTGTCCCAAATTCCTCGTTTTTCTTTTATAGCAGCTTTGTTGGGAGTGCAGTCCTTGACCTAACAGTTTAATGTGTTGGCATCCACATTTCCCTACTTTTATTAGGGCATTTGTCAGAGATGTGGTCAGAAAAGTCCCAAGACTGACTCAGCTTTTGTTAAAAGAAGGTCTTCTTCCAGCTCAGCCTTTGTCAGGACTGGACACACACACATTTTTGGGTCACTTTTTGCAGTTTCTCTCTTGACTGACTTGAAATGTAGGACCTGCACCTAGTCTGGATTCTCCAAACTTTGCCTCTTGCCTTGAGAGTTTGTTAAATATCAAAGTAATCTCAAAGTTTGACTCTTTAACATCGTCTAAACTTTTGACCTTTTTTAATTTTGATTGTTACAGGACTGGAACCGCACGTGGTACACAGCCAACCCTGACCTAACCCAGTGTTTCCAGAACACAGTGCTGGTGTGGGTCCCCTGTGTTTATTTATGGTTGCTGGTCCCATTCTACTGTCTTCACCTCTACTGCCATGACCATGGACGGATTCAAATGTCCTGCCTCTGCACTGCCAAAATGGTGAGACTTTTCTTTTCTTTTTTTGCACAGTAGAATTAAAAAAAAAAAACTAACTTCATATTAAATGTTTTATTTCCAAAACCTTAAAAAAAATTATTGGCAAATGTAACTGACTTCTCAGAGTTTTTTGTCTTGCTAATACTTTCCTGTTTTTTTAGGTGTTGGGTTTCCTTCTGGCCTCGTTTGGCTTTGTTGAATTCTTCTACATCCTGCTGGAGAGAAGTCAAGAGATTCAGCAGCACATGGTCTTCCTACTGAGCCCCATCATACGCAGCATGACTGTGGTAAACCCGTGGCTCTTTTTCACACATTTGCATCTGTCAAATTAGGTTCAAATCACTTAAAAGTTAGACTGCATTATGCATTAATTGGTTTAAAGGGTTATTGAACATTTTTTTGCGATTATTACAGTACAGAAAAGTTGCTCTATCAGAATGTGCCTTATTTACAGCTTAAAATACACATTTCACAACCTTACTGTGCGCTTTGAGTAACCTTTTATGAATACTTCATGCTGTATTCTTTTGGTTTATGTCACTGTACGAAAACCTGAAATATAAAGCGTACCTATAGTATGTTGGCAAGACACTCAGGTGCAAAGATGCATAACTAATGGTGGGTTTATATGGTCACTGGCAATGTAAATATAGCAGTGCTCTGTAAACAGAGCATGCATTTGACAATCACTCACCATGGTGCACAGTACACACGTGTTGACTTCAGTTACTTTTTGATGCATTGTCAATGTTTAGTATGTATGTGCAACTTTTAATGAACTGAAAATATCACAGGTGCCTTGCCAGTGACGCGCCATGTGTCACAGAAAAACTGTATAGTGAATCAGTAAAGTATTCTACAGGAAAAATTACTCTTGCAATATTCACATACACATTTTAGGCTAGTGGTGTACAACGTATATAATATATAAAATACATAGTACTGAGTTTCTCATAGCATTTTTTCAGAATAAAGTTTGTGATCTACCATACTTGTCTTTGCTGCTTTACATGTTTTATTCCAAGACAAGTTCGTTTGGCTTCCCACCAATTTTGTTATTTTTTTCTTACAGAACAAACAACTGAAACCAGTACAAAGTTGATGATATACAATTGTAGTTTAAGTTAACCTTAATTACACAGAGAGATTCTGTCTTTTTATAGGTTACAGGTGTACAGTTGGGACAGGAGGTTCCAACGTCGTTGTTTTGATCAAAACTGTATTTAATGTTTCACTGCCTCGTCAGAAGTGTAGAAAATGCAATCATCCAGATTTCCTGCAAATATATCCAACACTGATTCCATTTTTTAACCCTGTTCTAATTAATACCCATAATTCTTTCATGCAAAAACCGAAGACAGTTCAAATGTTCAGGTCTAAATCAACACATGGTTTGTGCGGCTTTGCTCATTCTCTGTGAGCTCTTTACTCTCAACAGACGTTGTTTATCTTCATCCTCCTCACCTCTTGAATTAAACCACAATGGACTCCATGACCCGGATCACAGGGTGGTGCGTAGGCTGGGATACACAACAATATTTATAGAAAAAAGGAGCTGCTGTACAATCAGAGAAATGTTTTAGTGAAGCTTGTTGATGGAAATGGCCATAATTTATTTTAATTTTTTTTCAAAACATCAATCCTACTCATTTTCAGTAGATTTTAAGTTATACTTAACTTGTATGAGTAGGCAAATTAGGGGAGGAGTGGAGTTAAACTTGGGTGGCATTAGAAGGTAAAAAAACATTGTTTATCCTTTTGCAGGAAAAGGATTAAAATGCAATACTACAAGCTGAGCTGTGATGGGAATGCTTGCGATGCACTTAGCCTCTTAAAGCCGACAGCTTTACGTACAAAGCTTTCTCTTTCTGCTGCCGTACACAGGTCCTGCTCCGTCTCATTCTCCTAAAAGCCAGACAGATTTACCCACCTGTGGTCTTTTCAGACGCCTGAGTAAATACCAGCACGTGTTTGGATAAAGATACACTGAGACATCTCTTGTATTTCAAGATGCATCTTAAAAAAGGTTGTTTATTTTTAGGGATATAATTTGTCCCAGCAGGAGGCCAGAACAACAGACATCTGCTAAGTCACGTTAGGAGCGTCTAACTAATCTTCTAATTAACTTGCTAGGCTTGTTTTTATATCTTAGCCACAGGACTTCCTGGATGAAGGCGTGGATCATGGCTTCCTGTTGATCTGATTGATTTGGTTTGTTGCCCTTAAACTCAAGCATAAGAAAGGGAAGTTTTTTAATTTTTTGCCAATACTGACAGACCACGAGTGAATTACTACAGATGAAATATGCTATATTCAGTAAAACCATGACGTAACGTTCCCCAGAACGGTGCACTACCCATCTAATTATAAGGCTGGGGTTTGATTCAAGCCTCAGTCATGAATTTAGCCCTCCCATTGCCTTATACAAACAAATGAGACAATGTTTGCCGTAATAAGCAAGTCTCATCAGTTCTCTTTAAGATCACCAGCTCTCTTAATCACGAGCCAAAGTCGGAGTATAAAACATTTTATATTTAGCACTAAGGAGCTGCAGAACTCATCGTTTTTAAATCCCTAAAAGTTCAGATTGCTGTGCAAATCTTGAGTAATGGTACTAAACTGATAAGCCAGTAAAGATAGCTCACTAATGATCAATTTACGGTAGGTATTTCACTCTAGTTTCACCAGCATGATGGATCAAAGTACAATTCATTGCACAAGACCAGTAAAATAAAAGAATAAAACTACAAAAGATACTTTGTTAACCACAATATTTCTTAACAGGTCACTTTCATTCTTTAATTGCACACATGTCTTGAGTTTGTGTTCTTTGTTTTCACACCCCTCACATTAACTGTGTGCCCATGGCTCTAACTTCCTGTAAGGCATTCACGTTAGGCTGACTGGACGCTCTAAATTCCTCATAGGTATGACTTTAGATATGAGCAGGATCAAATTTTCAGGGAGAGGAAGTTAAAAAAAAGAGTAACGTAGTCACTATAACACCAAATGCTGCTCTTCTGATGTTTTTTTTTGTCACTATCAAAAACGAGTTGGTACAAAAGACACAAAATGACCGGGAACTGGTTTATAACTGGACACCACTCCTGAGTTGCCAGTGTGTGTGACGCTTTTTAAAACTTAAACCCACTTTTCTGCACTTCTTGACGAGCCAGTGTGACAAAGTGACATCTCACTCGGCTAACCACGCAGCGGGGGGACCGATTATGGTTTGCAAAAGATGCATGCCTCCCCCGAGGACAGATGCACGCACGTTTCTAAAAATTGATTCTGGTTTATTTTTGAGAAAACGTGGTGGAGATTTTTTTTTTTTAAGAAAAGATACAGTATCATTAAGTGATGTGTGTAAGGCTTGTGGCATACCATACACGTGTTGTTGTTTTTTTTTAAGACAAGAGCCTGCCAAATCACATTTTTGTCTGTAGCAAGGGGATTCCCAAAGGCCCAAACACGTTTTCAAAACTGATATCACATACACAAGATCAGTAAGAGTAAAGGAAAATGATGCAGTAACATTTATTGTAACACCATCAGATAATACATATTCATACAGCACTCTACAAAGAATAATCAGTGCTTTTAGATCACATTCATACACTGATGGGACACACATCGGAGGAAATGAAGGGTTCAGTGTCTTGCCCAGGGACACTTCGGCATGTGACTGCTGGTGGAATCGAACCCCCAACTCTCCCGTTGGAGGGCGACTGCTCTAACCACTCAGTCACAGCTGCCCGATAGAAGCCTAATAGACGCCTAATAGAAGAGAGGAGTATTTATTATTATTATTATTTAAAGTGGAGTAGAGCAAAACGCCAACTTGGAGTGAATCTGTCTAATTTCTTCTCCCCTCAGAAATCTCTTTGTCATAAAAATATGAAGCTAAAGGAGATTTGTTTAGGCTCAAAAGAGGACCAAAAACTGGATGTTCCTGCCCTAATGGAATATTTGTCATCAAATCATCCTAGTTCCAATTTTTTTATTTATAATTTTTCTTTCTCTTCTAATTGTTGACTTACCGTACTTAAATTGCATCTTGTCTCCTTGTGTTTTTGTAGATCCTGGTCTTGTGCATCATCCAGTTGGAAAGAATAAGAGGCTGTCGCTCCTCCGTTTTCCTTTTCTTGTTCTGGGTCTTGTCTGTTGTTTGTTCGCTCGTGCCTCTCAGAGCGAAGATCCAGCTCGCCATAGATGAGGTACGTGACGCAGCCTAATGTCTGATTCAAAAAAACAAAACCTACACCACATCCTATAAAGCAAATATTATTGTTACAGCACTAATTGATGCCAGTCTTGTATTCTGAAGACAAGTGATTGAAACAAAAAAAAAAGTTTTTCTTTAATTTATTGTTAATGATAGGTTTTAATGCATTGAACATAACTGGGTTTATAACTCTACTGAACAGGTAACATATATCAAACTCAAGGGCCAAGGGCCAAATCTAGTCCCCCAAGATGATAATTTAAATGTAATATGTATATCTTCTAATTTATTCTTTAAAACAACTGATAAATGCATCATTTAGTGTAGACTTCTCTTGCCTGCTGGCTAATGTTGAAGCCAGAAAGACAGCTGGATCGTTCTATCATTATTGATTCTGATGTGGAAAGAGCAACAGAACGTCAATTGAGACGGATCAAAATCTTGTTGATGAACCTACAACCAAGAAAAGATATTGGGTATCTGACTCGAGTTAATGAATTTTGGCTCCTTTTGGTAACTGAGTTCAACACCCCTACCTGTTGATTTCTTCTGTGTAGCACCATGAGATGATCTTTATTGTGAATTGGTTCTACATAAATAAATAGAATTGGATTGAATGCATTTACACAAGGATAAATTGTGCATTTATAGCATAAGAAACGAGGACACAAAAGTGAACCTGTTGATGTTTGGTTTGAACTCAGTGAACCACCGATGTCAAAACACTGCGCAGAAATATCTGATCAGGTCTAGTCCCACCCATAGTCTAGACATGAGACTCCAGCAGCACAGCTTGAGATACACCCTGTGTCAGCACACAGTTTTATTTCACCCCTCAGTTTTAACCAAGGTGACCCAAAGTTAACACAATGTGCTGGAGGATGACACTGCCAATTCTGGTCAAGCCTGTGTGTGTTTAAGTTTTTCTTTTCTTCCTGTGTCTCCCGTTAGACATTGCAATCATTGTTCTCCGAGTAGGTTAGCGCACACAGTCGTGGGGCAGTAGTCGCATTTGCATTTCTAAAAAAAAAACCACACACACAACCATATTTCTGTTTTATCGTTCTCAGTGTGACATTCCCACACTGCTTGGGGGAAGAGTAATGATGGCCCTGCGTTAAATGTTGGTGAGACATGGCAGCCCAGGGTCAGACCAGAGAAACGTCAGCGCTGTGTTTATGAGCCTACACTGCTGTAAACACAGCTAAATGAAAATCTATGCATCCACACATAATGCAAAACAGTTTAGGAGCATTTCATAAAACTACACGTGCCCATATAGGAAACACAACTCCCATATGTTTTACCTTCAGATAGTATTTCTAGGTCTCAGATTTTTACAACTATATCTTTACCTCAGAAACTAACAATTACTCTTTAATTAGGGATATCAAATAGTTAGCTGAAGACTTGCCGTATGTGCAGCCAATATTAGATTGAAGATGATGTTAACAGCTACAAATATTTCATTTAATGATGTTAGGAGGATTCTTTTTGCACCTTAATGCTAAATAAATAAAGATTACTGGCTTCTTATCAAGAACAAACTGCTACACTGGTGTTGACAGAATGAGTCAAATGCTACACTGATTTGCATCTCTGTCAAAGAGTGGTAAATGAATACTACAGTAATATTTGTGATTCGTAAAAAGCAGCATGAAGTTAACTTAGCTTGCACAACAGCTGTCCTGACTTTTCCCACAAATATCAGCAGACAGTTGTTAAAATATAATATCAAACAATTGTGTTTATTGTGATTCACATTAAGTCAGTTCAATTAATTCCCAAAATGTCCAGTTTCATTTTTTACAATATTTATTTATTTATTGGCCTTTATTTAACCAGGAAAATCCCATTGAGATCACAGATCTCTTTTGCAAGGGAGGCCTGGGCCTGAAGGCAGCTTAACATGCATGTTTTTGGTCTGTGGGAGGAAACCGGAGTACACCCACGCAAGCACGAGAAGAACATGCAAACTCCACACAGAAAGACCCCAGGTCCAACCAGGGATTGAACCCAGCACCTTCTTGCTGTGAGGCAACAGTGCTAACCACTGAGCTGCCGTGCTGCCAACAATAAACAAGAATAAAATACAAACAAGCAGCAATTAATTAATGGCAATTTGTACAACCTTTTCCAGCTAAGAAAGCCAAAGGCTTGCATCAATTTAAATTCAAATTATATGTGTTTTTATTTAAAAAGTTATCTTGGCATGTTTTGTAGTCATTTAAAAGGACTATTTTTTACACATTCATGTTTTTTGACATTATATCATCCTGGTTTTCTAAACTATACATTTGATTTAAAGTCCAGAGAGCTGCATTTGTTCCATTTGTGTCCTTAATGAGTGAAAACAAAGTCAGATGACATTAGGCTGCAATATTAAAGATACATTTCAAACTACAGCATAAACTAACATCCACATTACAAAATTAGATTCTCAAATGTACAACTCAGCATTTTCTTTTCAATGACTGTTCTTGTTCCAGCTAACATAATGTGTAATTTTTAATATAAAGTTAAAAAATATGACTATAATTGATCTATGCATTGTAAAGCTTTATGTATTCATAGATATTGGCAAGTAACATTAAAAGCAGTAATAATTTTGCTGTGGTAAGAAACTTTTTTTTTTGTGATATACGATCATTTAAAGAATAGACATAATGAAGCACAACTCAACAGTTGTCTTTAATTTCTTCTTCCCTGCTTATTTTATCAGATTTTTCAGACATTTAGAAAGAAAGTGCCTATCCCATATAAACAGCCTGGACAACTCAAGTTGACAGAGTTCATGTTTGTGGCCCCGTGGCCATTCTTAGCCGCTTGACCTACATTTTTCTCACCCACTCTCGGACCATTCTGACTTTGTTTGTCACTGTGTGGCCAGATCCATTTGGCCCCTTCGTATCTGCTTTCTGGGCACAGCACCACACTTTTCAGAGAAAAACGTTTTACTGTTTACCATGGCTGCCACTTTGATGCGTACACATACTGCTGCACAACAGGCCAGTTGTGGCGGCAGCGTCAAACCAACGTAAACAATGGCCGCTGCCAGAAACCACAATTTCTGTATGTCAAGAATAACTTGGAGGTCTTAGTTTTACGCAAACGTCTCTGACTGGTTAATATTGCAGCTGCTCTCTTTATTGAAAGTAAGGATGTTGGTTTGTGAAGCTACAATCTCCCTATTTACAGATTTGGGCTTTTTGCGTGACTGAGAGGCAGTTTTAACTATTACCTAATTTACATAAAGTAAAAGCCTCTGGGTTTTTATCTAAATTTAGCTTACAAGTCCAAATTAATCTTTATTGTGCCTGTGGTGTTGGTATAAAAACCCTCTTCAGGGGAAGCGCCATAAGAGGAAGTTGATGCATTTATTAACCTGCACAAAAAGCCACATTACAAATAATAAAACAGCTTGCTACAGGATATTCCTTATTTATTTATATATATTCTTAAAAATATGAAACACCCAAAGCACATTTCAAAACTTTTGAAAACTTTTTGTTTTCTTGTAAATTCAAAATCTATCTCGGGTAAATGTTTGCTCAGTATATTTGTTTTGGCTGTACAGGTTGGCTGACCTGTGTTGAGTTTAGCAGACCTAAATTTAGGCAATTATATTATTTTTGTCAGTCTAACACGAGGTTCAAGGTTCTTTATTGTCATTTGCATCACATGTGGTACATGAGGTGAAACAAAATTGTGTACACAGGGTTGTGAGCAGATGGGTATGAATACAGCAGCTTAAAGGCAAGAAATCAGCAGCATGGATAATCAGCAGCACGGATAAAGTGTCAAATCTCCAATTAATGTGGCATTATGGTGATTTTTCTGGTTAGAGATTTGTGAGTCTAACAGCTTCAGGGTAGAAGCTGTTCCTCAGTCTAGTGGTTCTACACTTAATGCTCCGCAACCTCCTGCCTGAGGGGAGCGGGGCAAAAAGTGTGTGTGCTGGGTGAGTGGGGTCCTTCATGATGCAATATTCATTCAATATTTATTTATACAGGTTAATCCCATTGAGCCACGGGGACTCATTTACAAGAGAGACCTGAATATAATATGAATATAATACGGTGTATTAAATAATATGAATATAATGCGGTGTATTAAACAGCAGCCCGAACATGAGTCTGTTGTGAGCAGATGGGTATGAATATAACAGCTTAAGGCAAGAAGTCAGCAGCACAAGTTGTTTGTGAACAGTTTTGTTGAATTGTTTTATTTGGAGGATTAAAATGCACACAGCCTCAAAGAAAATCCCTCTCATCCCTAAAGATTTAAAGCAAGAATATTTTTTTAATAAGTACCATAAACGAGACGTATAGCAGTCTTTGTAATCTGTGTTTCACTCCACAGGGCGTCATGTCTGACATTGTTCGATACCTCGCCTTCTTCTCCTATTTCTCGATCCAACTGGCCCAGCTCTTCCTGTGCTGCTTTGCTGACCAGTCACCGCTGGGAAAACCCATCTTGGAAAAGGTAGGCAAGAGGGAATGTTTTCCACTTCTTTCAAAAACTATCTATGACGATTCAACACAAAAGAAACAAAGACAAAACCAAAAAAAAAAAAAAAAAGCCAAAGAGACACTTTTGTGGGTTTTGATTTTTGTTGTCAACACTTTTTTGCCTTTTGGAGGAAATGATGCGATTCGCCTCCGCCTTCATTCCTCTTATACCTTACAACTTTGGCTTCCTGTGCCAGGAGTGTGTGTGTTTGAGCCTAAGCCCCTGCATACCTTTGTAACAACTCACTTTGTGAGATAACATTACAACTGCTGAGTAGAGTCTTTTTTGACTACACAACAGGAAAACCATTTATACAAATCTCACTACACTGTCAAACATGAGCTTGGCAAAACCCTTTTTCAAGTTGACACCGGGCAGCTGACAGGTGAATGAAAATGAGCTCCTCATCGATCAAAACGACACGTGACGTAATATTTCCCCGGTGATAAACTGTCGAAGGAGGTGGAAAAGTCCCCTTGGCTGGTGATGAGGAGCCTTGAGGGTGCAGAAGCCACAGTCTGGCGTGGTGGACACACCCAGTGGTGTGTCCTCGTCTTTTTCCTCCACCTCCTCCTCCTCCTCCTCTTTTCCCAGTACTTTGGTTAAAGTTACACATAGAAGGAAAGGAAGTGATGAGACCAGAAGCAAATGTGCTATACCGAAGAGAGCAAACAGACTGGTATGGGGGTGGCAGGGTGGAAGAGATGCCAAGAAGTGTGCATTAAAGCTAAAATCGCATGTGTGTGCTTGTGTCAGTCTAGTCGGACCGTTTGTGATGACACATTTCCGCTCTGTCTGCACTAGACCACTAAACGTCATCTTCGCCCTGCGCTAACACTCAACCCTTTTCATTCTTTTCTGTGGGAGTTCAAGTCCTCTGCTCCCCACAGTGGACCACCTGAATGTACCAGTTTGTTTACAGGCATTTATGTTCCGAAACACACCCCTCACATGCACACCATTCAACCATCAGCTAGTGGCCTCAGTGAGGCTGTACATTTCTGAAAAACCTTTTAGTGGTGAGCATTCGGCTGCAAAAACAACTCTGACTCTGGTCTTTAATCTGTTGCAGAACCCCTGTCCTGTGAAAGATGCCTCTTTCCTCTCAAAGATTCTCTTCTGGTGGTTCACTGGGTAAGATGGTTCTTCAAAAACCCCTCATTTTTAGGCACAGGCTGAGTCACTTAGGCATAAGTTCTGACTTGTTTACAATAATAAGTCTGTTTTGTTGATGATTTGGTGTGTGTGAGTCATCTCCTGTGCTACCTCCTCAGGCTTGTTGTGAAAGGATACCGCTCACCACTCGAAGCAGAGGATCTGTGGACGCTGAGAGAGGAAGACACGTCCTATAAGATCATCTCAGAGCTGCAAGAGAACTGGACAGCTGAGTGTGCCAAACTCCAGAAGTGAGATTTGTTTATAAAAGAAAACATGACAGTTACTAAGTATTATTATACATCTATTACAACATAGCACATTGGATTTGCCTTATTGCAATATTTACAGACTTTAACTTATGTTTAAACCTGCATCGCTCCAACAACATGGATAACATTATCATTGCATAATACAAAATGCCACACAAGACATGTTTCAAATGAAAGTCCTCCTGTAATCACACTTACTGCATGTTTTCCAGATGTTGGCAAATGCACATAAACAGTTACTCAAAGCCAATATAATATACAAAGTTTTAGTTAAAGCATCTCTGACCTTTATAACATGTTCTCCTTTTGTAAATAACACACCTCCATTTTTGTGAAGTATGACTTGTTTATTGGCATAATCTTTCTAACAACGTGCATCAATCTGTAGTGGAGGAGAACATATGTAGAACATGCACACGTTGTCGTTTTTGTTTACGCTCAGCCATTTTGACCTCTTTTTTAGCTCAGATTCACTGTTTTGCTCTCCCTGCTGACATTATTTAACAAACATAGAATCAATTAAGTCTTATAGTTTTTTTTTTTTTTCCATTAAGGCATTGCTGGTCGATGTGATCTGGACAGAGCCAGATTTAGCCATGAGGTTCAGGATTTTTCATCTTTATAAGTAATTAAAACTAAACAATAAGCAACAAAAACTCACTTGAAGACATATATAATGTCAAACCAAGAGCCATGAATCTTTTACAAACCTCGTTAACACGACTCAGTGCTTTGAAAAACCATTTTTTTAAAGGCTAATCATTATTGTAGCAAATAAAACTTTCCACAGCTGTTTGTAAATTCTTTTGTCCATCGGTGATGGCAAAACTAAGAACAATTTTATTGCTGTCTGTTTTATATATAAACCTAAAATCTACTGGCTAAGTTGGATGGATTTCTGACACAGATTTCTGGCCTATAACAGTTCTTTTCTCTCTCTTTGCAGACAGGAGAAAGCCTTAGCGTCGGGTGTGGCACTGGGGAGCAGGCTGCCAGACCAGGCTCAGCTCCTCAGGAAGCTGCAGAAGGAGCAAAGCTCCGGCTTTTTTCTTCTTAGGACGCTGACACGCAAGTTTGGTCCATATTTCCTGACCGGCACCTTGTGTATCATATGCCACGATGCCTTCATGTTCGCCATCCCTCAGGTGTTAAGGTAAAATTCAACAAGTAGTGCTCTAAAACTCAAATTTATCTATGAAACCAAGGTGATCTGATTCTTTTGTTCGATATATTTTATCGCGCCATGTGATTTAAAGTAACAGTGGTCGTTGAAAAATAATCCACAAAGTTGACAACAGTTTGGAACAGAAGACTTTATGTCACCATGTTTTTTTGTTGAAAGAGACGCTTGTGTTTGTTTAATATACCTTCACGCCAATGCTTATATGGTGTTTCTTAACTTTAATTAAATTTAAAATGATCTGGAGTTGGTTAAAATAAAAATAAAAAAACAGTTTTTTTAATGAAAATTCATTCAAATTTGAAACTTAAGTGAAAATAATTTTTTTCTCTTGCACTGTAATGAGTTGACCAAATTTACCAACATAGTCAGATAGATCTAATGGATGGATGAATGGATAGATGGAGTTTTTCAGGAATTCATGACCCGTTAGACGAAATAAACCCAGAATCTGGCAACAGTGGAACCAGGTTAAGACTAATCTGCCTTTCGCTGCCTTACTATCCCACCAATCAGACTGGAATGTTGTTGTTCATGCACAGCTCTGGACCAGTGGAAGTGTTAATTACGGTCATGGAGCTGTGAGCGAGCAGACTAGACTGTGTGCTCCAGTAGGAAGGACAGGCAGAAAAAGTGAGAGGAGGCTCTAAATGCTGTCGGACCACAATAAGAGAGCCACAGGCCAAGTGCGAGTGCAGCCCGGCCACAGGCTGAACTCTGTTGTGCAACCAGAACTGCTTTGAGTGGCTCAATCAGTCAGAAGCCACAGCTGAGCTCAAGGTTAAAAGCTCACAATAAGAGTTAGATAATATCAAACTGAAAGTAAATTATCTTGATGGAGTAAATGCCTCTGCTTAGTTTTTGGTCATTCTTTTCAGTCAAATAGGGTCATAGTACAATGCCAAGTCGAGAAGAAAATACATTACCAATAAGACCTATTTAATCACTTGTGTTCTGATTTGTTACAGTCTTCTTCTGGGCTTCATGAAGAATGGAGATGCTCCGTTGTGGAAGGGCTACTTCTACGCCACATTAATGTTCCTCCTTTCCTGCCTCCAATCCCTCTTCAACCATCAGTACATGTACACGTGCTTCACTGTCGGTATGAGGGTGAAGACAGCTGTCATGGGCTTAGTTTACAGAAAGGTGGGTAAATGTGCCACATACACTTAGCCACTACCTCTTGACATGGCTTAAATTATGTCTTATATGGCAAAACAAAAGCTTTTCTCCTTCCAGACTGTAAAACATTTTAACGTGCATGAAAACCAGCTTTTACCTAAAATAAATGATAGTGTCTACGTTTTACAAAGTATAAAATTATGCTGTCCACGATAAACTGAAAGCTGGAATGTCTCCCATCTTTTTTATTTATTTTTTGGTCAATCCAGTCTTTGGTGATAAACAGCTCGGCCAGGAGAACTTGCACCGTCGGCGAAATTGTGAACCTGGTTTCAGCAGACACTCAGAAGCTCATGGATTTTGTGGTGTACTTCAACGCTGTCTGGCTGGCTCCGATTGAGATCGCTCTTTGTCTCTTTTTCCTCTGGCAGGTGTGTAGAAATGTAATATTTTCAAAGTGGCTTCCATTCATGCACAGACGCAATTTAGTTAACAATCTCTTGGCGCGTTCTCTCTTCCTTCAGCATCTAGGCCCTTCTGCGTTGGCAGGAATCGCCACGGTCATTCTCATTTTCCCGCTCAACGGATTCATCGCAAAGAAAAGGAGCAAGCTGCAGGTAAAAGCAGAAATGCCTCACACGTCCGCTACATTCAGACAGCTGGCACGTCGGGCCAGGAGATGCCACAGCTGGTTTAGATAGTGGCTGAAGAGCTGTGTGGGTGTTTGGCCGGGGTGCTACATTCTCTCTTGTCCTTTTGATGTCTGGCCCATATAATGTGTTGGAAAAACAATGACAGGAAAGGGTGGGCAGTGGCAAGACATCATTTTTCATTTCTCTGGAGAAAAAACAACAAAACAGTTCTGTAAATTTAGATGCCAGTTTTAATCCAGTTTTTTTTTCTTGATTGTAGTGACCACATTCTTGGCCCCTTTGTTGTTCCCTTGTAGGAAAAATGACTAAAATGTCAGATGAAACAAATTCTTACCAAATTAGACATGGTCTGTGATGTTCTGGAAAAGTGCTGCTGTAATAGTAAATGCAGACAAACACTGTTCACGAACACATAGGTTCCCTTTGGTGTGGTCATTTCCATTTGCTGTAGTTTGAGCTGAAGATTGTTTTTTAACAACAGAAAATAAAACTTTCTCTGTCTGCTCAACAGGAGATTCAAATGAAGTTCATGGACGGGCGCATCAGGTTGATGAACGAGATCCTGAATGGAATAAAGATCTTGAAATTCTATGCCTGGGAGAAGGCTTTCCTGGAGCAGGTTTTGGGGTACAGAGAGAAGGAGCTCAGGGCCCTGAAGAAATCTCAGATTCTTTACTCCATCTCCATTGCATCATTTAACTCCTCATCTTTCATGGTAAGGACGTTAAAACAACAACTTTTAATTCAGTGAATAAACTCATGATAATGAGAGTTTTTGTTCAAAGTCTCAGTACATATGAGTGTTAATAGGCAGGTGTTTGCAACAAAACTCACAATAATATACGTAGGCCCGTCACGATAAACAATAAATCAATTAATCGCATAATAAATGAAAATGATCAAATTCATTTTCATTTATCGGCTTTATCATTTCTTTCTACTGAAGACACCAGATGACAAAAGGCTCAACTCCGGTGCTCTTCACTGACCCCTCCCTTTCTCTTTTCTCTTTAAAATCAGTTTTAACCATCCAAAATCGCATTTTTGGATCGTTAAAAGCAGCTAAGCTGAGAAGCTAAGCTACAAGCTAAGCTAACAGGCCGGCATCGGGGTAAAAACCTCTGTCTTGTCAAGCTCCAAAATTCAAGGTTGAAACTCGTGCCTTCATGTAAAAAGTTGTTTTTCTCTGCAAAAAGAAGCTGAGAACTTGTTTACTGATTTATTATTAAAAGTTTTGGTGAAAAATGCTATGCTAAAGAGCTATGCTAAGAGCTAGTTTTTATTCTATTAGTGCTTAGCGTATTTTTAGTTAATGTTTTTCTTAGTTCATATCTTAGATCTTATTACTGTTTTTCTTTTACATTTTATTGTTGGCTGTAACTGGGACCCTGTGTACAAAATTTCGTTCCACCACATGTACCACATGAGATGCGAATGAGAAATAAAGAAACTGACTCTTAACTCTGACTCAAACCACACTGAGCGGAACCGAAAAACAGGAAGGAGAGACAGCCCATGTCACATCAAGGGGGCTCCCTCCCATTTTTCTTAAAGAGACACGCTGCTTGCTCCCTCACTATCCACCCTTCGATTCAAACAGTCTTATACTCCCATCCGTTGGTCAGAAAAAGGTACTACATTCAACAAATTAACCAACATTTCTTCATAAATTTGACATAATTACCAATTATTGTCAAATTTTAAACAATATTATCGTTTATCGCGATAATTTCTGAGACAATTAATCGCCCAGTAAAATGTGTTATCGTGACAGGCCTAAATATATTATTATGTTTATGTTTTGAAATCTAGCTTTGCAGATGTGAGAAACCAAAAGTTTCAACAAACTGTCAGATTCAGGGACTGGGAAAATCACTTCATTACTGCACAGTTTTGCCAACATAATTTTGGTCTATCCTGAGGGAGGTACAACTGTGTTTTTTGCTAATTTAATTTAATAAATCCAGTATTCTTAAGATAGTTTTCTCAAAACTGCACAGAAACTCAAGGCACAACTCCAACATGTGACTCTGTGTAAAGTGTGCAACGTCAGTTGCAGACAAGAAACAAGTACTCTGGGAGGGATGGAGGATGTCAGATTCAGAAATAATAGACTGCAGAAGCATTTTTAGTGGTTTTTCTCTTTTTGTGTGATACCAACAGCAAGATGAAATTACAGAAACCTTTCATTCTTAAGGTTTTGTTTGTCGAAATATCATTCTTGTCTGTAATTGTAACATCTTGTGTTTTTTTTGCCTCCCCAAGATTGCCTTTTCCATGTTTGGAGTCTACGTGATGCTGGATGACAGAAACGTCCTGGATGCACAAAAGGTGTTTGTTTCCATGGCAATAATCAACATCTTGAAGACGCCGCTCAGCCAGCTGCCATTTGCAATTAGCACAACGATGCAGGTTGGCGATATTTCTTTACGACCCCCTGTGTTCTACATCCACGCTCCCTAATGACGAACATTTTTACTGGTGAATAATTAATTGAGGTCTTCACTCTCTGTTCCAGGCTCTAGTTTCACTGAGACGTCTTGGAAAATATCTGTGCTCAGAGGAACTGAAAGTGGACAATGTCTTAAAGGCCCTATTGAGCTCTGGTAAAACTTTTATTTACATTTTTAACTTCAACCAACAACCTCCCTACACAGTTTAATTTAGCAAATTCCCACAATTTGGTCCTCATGCTCCCTGAAATCATGGGCTGCCATGATCGATAAAAGCAGCGCACAGGATGTTGTTTATAACTGTGGATTACCACAGCCTTGTATGGATCATATGCACTGTCACTTCCTGGGTCCTATGCTTACTGGTAGACCGGGTAATTATAGGATGTTCCCATTTAGCGGTTAAACTTAAATCATAGCACGGATTCAGACGTATGAATCATAGAGAAATAAAAAAGAAGCAGCGAACACTGTACTTCTCTGTCCAAGATCTGTCAACACTTACTGAGATATCTTGTGACAAAGCAACAACTCTGTAATTTGCATGATTAGACAAATTCGCTTGTAATTACGCCCAGAAGGCACTCTGATGAGTAACTTTAAGGGGAAGCTTTGTTTCTTAATTTGGAAAAATACATCCTTTTTTTAGTTGTCATTGCAGGCTTTGTTAATTTCAGCTGAATTTTGCCTTTTTTTAGAGAGTGAAGATGTGGTCGTAGAAAATGGTACTTTCAGCTGGTCTGCAGAAGGTCCCCCATGTCTTAAAAGGTTGGAATTATCACATTGGAGTAAAGCGTATGCATTATAATCAAGGGAGACTTACAGAGAAACACTATATTTTTGACAGGATCAACGTGCGAGTGCCACGAGGTTCCCTTGTAGCTGTGGTCGGGCACGTGGGCAGTGGAAAGTCTTCTTTGTTGTCCGCCATGCTCGGCGAAACAGAGAAAAGAAGCGGCCAAGTCACAGTGAAGGTACAAAGTTAATGTTCCGTGAGCTAGATGTATTTATAGTTTGTGGTTCTGATAAATATTGACAGTTTCTCTTTGTGTTTTTGCAGGGCTCTGTGGCATACGTACCCCAGCAGGCCTGGATCCAGAATGCCACCGTCCAGGACAACGTATTATTTGGTTGTGAGAAGATGAAAACGTGGTACCAGCGTGTGCTGGAGGCCTGTGCCCTGCTGCCCGACCTTGACATCTTACCTGCAGGAGATGCAACAGAAATTGGAGAGAAGGTATGAATTACTAGAAAAACAGCAGTTTCTTGTATGATTCAGAATATTTTTCAAAATGTTATGTTGTATTTTTCCTCTTGCAGGGACTTAACCTCTCAGGTGGGCAGAAGCAGAGGGTGAGTCTGGCCAGAGCTGTCTACAGAAAGGCTGATGTTTACCTTCTGGATGATCCGCTGTCTGCTGTTGATGCACATGTGGGACAACACATTTTTGACAAAGTCATTGGACCCAAAGGAGTACTTCGAGACAAGGTAATTCCCTAAAAAAACCAGCAAAGTACTGCTCAGTTTTGCCCCTAAACCACTTAACAAGTTTGCGCTCTGCACCGCTGTTTTCTTAAAATGGAAACCACCACTTTGCTGACACGTTAGTTTTTGAGCTCAGGTTAACAAAGGATTGCGCTTACGTCTTCTTTTTCTGACTGGCGTGTGACCTTCTTAACAGACTCGTGTCCTGGTGACCCACGGGATGAGCTTCCTGCCTCAGGCTGACCTCATCCTCGTTCTGGTTGACGGAGAAATCACAGAGAGCGGCTCCTACCAGGAGCTGCTCAGCAGAAACTCTGCTTTTGCTGACTTCATCCACACTTTTGCAAGCACAGAGAGAAAAGAGAGCGCTATACAGAGAGGTGCAGCAGAGACAAAAAGTTTTTTTTTTAAATAAACATGAGAAGGCACACTCATAACTTGACACTTAACAAATCTTTTCTGTGTAGCTGGTTCCAGGAGGTCCAATGCTCGACTCAGCGTGGTTGACTTCATGCCATTCTCCAGGGACCTATCACAAGAGCAGCTCATTGGGTATGTAAACAGCAGGAGCGCTCTGGAATCTCAGGAATCTATATTATGAAACTGACCTCTGACCCTCACTTATTATCCAGGGGTGACACCACTAATACCAACTTGCAAAATATGGAGCCTGTGTCTGAAACTGACCAGGAGCAGGTACCAGAGGACTTGGGGAAGCTGACTGAGGTTGACAAGGCTCGCACTGGACGAGTAAGTCTAAAGGGCTTTCGGCTTCTCTTTGAATCATAATCATTATTTGTCAGTGGCACCATTCAAAGACCTTTGCAGTTTCCCCCACAGCTAAGCATTTTAATGCATTTAAGCTCTTTATTTTTCCTATGTCCGTGTAAAATCTTTGATAAACCCCCATACACATACCTGCACGAAAGCAAATTTCAATAGGACAAACCTGTGACCATCTGGTAACTATATGACGTATGTTTTGTGTTGTACCTTCACAGGTCAGGTTGGAGATGTATAAGAAGTACTTCAAGACCATCGGCTTGGCCATCATTATCCTCATCGTCTTCCTGTACGCCTTCCAGCAGGGCGCCTCTCTGGCCTACAACTACTGGCTCAGCATGTGGGCCGATGATCCTGTGGTCAACGGCACACAGATGGATACAGATCTGAAGCTTGCCGTATTTGGAGCGCTGGGATTTGTACAAGGTCAGAGACCTTTTTTAATATAAACCAGCGCAGATTGAAATAAATGAGAATGGGTTTGGTCGTATTTAACTCCAGTTTCATGTCTCCCATCTCTTCAGGTATTGCTATCTTCGGTACGACCGTTGCAATCTCCATTTGCGGCATCATCGCCTCCCGCCAGCTGCACATGGATCTGCTGGTCAACGTTCTCCGATCTCCAATGTCCTTCTTTGAGTCCACACCCAGTGGGAACCTCCTGAACCGCTTTGCTAAGGAGATCGATGCCATTGACTGCATGGTCCCCGATGGGTTGAAGATGATGCTGAGCTACTTCTTTAAGCTGATGGAAGTCTGCATCATTGTGCTGATAGCCACACCCTTTGCAGCTGTGATCATCCTGCCTCTCGCGTTTCTCTATGCCTTTGTCCAGGTACAGCCCCCCCCCCCCCCCTCCCACAAACACATGGCTTAGCACACTGGTTCCCAACCCTGGTCCCTGAGGAACACCATCCTGAATGTTACAGTTGTTTTCTGCTCCAACACTCCTGATTCAGTGAATTAATTACTTCTTCAAGCTCTGCAGAAACCTGTTAATCATCCATTCAGTCAAATCAGGTGCATCAAAGCAGGGAAACAAGTAAAACATGCGGGACGGTGTTCCTCAAGGACCAGGGTTGGGAACCACTGCAATCTGACTTTCATTACTGTGTGTTAGTGAAATACTCCAGGGTCTAAAATCAACTCCTCTGATGTTGCCTTGTATTTTGTTTCCATCCTGCTGACATAACATTCAATTTAAATTACGGGAAAGCCTTCAGTGCATCCTTTTATTTTGCTGATTTAAAGCTGGTGTTTTACTTTTCCACTGTGGGCCGCAGAGCTTCTACGTCGCCACATCCTGTCAACTGCGCAGGCTGGAAGCTGTGAGCCGCTCGCCCATTTACACCCACTTCAATGAGACCGTGCAGGGTGCCAGCGTCATCCGGGCCTTCGGAGAGCAGTCTCGCTTCATCCTGCAAGCTAATAAAAGGGTCGACTTCAACCAAACCTCCTACTTTCCCCGATTTGTTGCCACTCGGTGAGCAGACGCATGATTATTTAAGTGTTTTATTTCTTTCTTATTTCTTTCTATTGTTTTCTGACTTCTTGTTAAATTCCCGTTGCATCTATAGGTGGCTGGCAGTCAATCTGGAGTTTGTTGGTAATGTTGTGGTCCTGGCTGCTGCCATTCTTTCTGTGATGGGGAGAAGCACTCTGAGTCCAGGCATCGTTGGTCTGGCTGTATCCCACTCCCTGCAGGTAAGATATTCTACACACAAACACACACACACATCCTCTTAAGACTCAAAGAGCACTATATCACTGGAGCTTAAATCTTATATAAAAAGCAGCTAAGGTAAAACCTCTGCTCTTGCAGGTGACTGGAATCTTGAGCTGGATTGTTCGATCCTGGACGGATGTGGAAAATAACATTGTTTCCGTGGAGAGAGTTAACGAGTACGCTGACACTCCCAAAGAGGTTAGTGTTCCCCTTCACACACACACCATGAAACAGAGGCTCTTTTCTTTTTCTTTACTTACCATTTTTATTGCCTCACACAGGCCAGCTGGAGCACAGAGGGCAGCTCTTTGCCCCTGGCTTGGCCCCAGAGCGGCAGCATAGAGTTCCAGGACTACGGGCTGCAGTACCGGAAAGGCCTTGAACTCGCCCTGAAAGACATCACGTTGCACGTTCACAGAAAAGAGAAGGTGATTCATCTTGTGTGGCATTAGCAAGAGTTTCTGGACCTATTGCATCTCCTCAGCACTGAAACAGAATTACATCACATAAAAATTCAAATCTCGCTCTTAGGTCGGAATAGTGGGAAGAACGGGAGCTGGAAAGTCCTCACTCGCACTCGGAATCTTCAGGATCCTGGAGGCAGCGAAGGGAAAGATCTTTGTAGATGGAGTGGATATTGCTGATATTGGGCTTCACGACCTGAGGTCACGCATCACCATCATTCCTCAGGTGCAGTAGCAACACCAGAGCCTGAACTCTGGTTTTTATTACATAAACTTTTTGTCGTGGTCATGATCTAGTACAGGGCTATTCATCTAAACTGCTCAGGGGGCCACATTTACTGAAAACCAGCAGCTCAGAGTCCGGACATCCAGCAATTATTGTCATTAGATGTTTGTTTTACAGTTTAAAATCTGTTTTTATCTAAAAATGAACCCATTGGTTGACCGAATTGAGTTCACCTGTGGGCCTGATTTGGCCCCCGGGCCACCAGTTGACTAGCCCTGATCTACTATATCAAATGTAAAAAACGACATTCACAGTTTTATTTCTGTTACAGATGTGATTTGATGATGAATATATTTTTCCATCCTCTCCGCAGGACCCTGTTCTGTTCTCTGGCTCCCTGAGGATGAACCTTGACCCCTTCGACACTTACACAGATGAAGATATTTGGAGTTCGCTGGAGCTCGCTCACCTCAAAACGTTTGTCTCTAATCTGCCCGACAAACTCAACTACGAATGCTCAGAGGGAGGAGAGAACCTCAGGTACACGGTTCTGCTGCAATAAGACACGTTGCAGCGCAGATGGAAGCGCCTGCCATTGGTTTTTTTTGTGGTCATTCACGTTCAAACTATGATGAAGAGAATCTAGTGTGTGATTGTCTCCCTCTCTTCCTCCACTTTGTCTGTGTAGTTTGGGTCAGCGCCAACTGGTCTGCCTAGCCAGGGCCTTGCTTAGGAAAACCAAGATCCTGGTTTTGGACGAAGCGACGGCCGCTGTGGACCTGGAGACGGACACGCTCATTCAGTCAACCATTCGCACGCAGTTTGAGGACTGCACCGTCCTGACCATCGCTCATCGCCTCAACACGATCATGGACTACACGAGGTACAGAACCTGAGGATTTATGACGTTTTGTTAAGAATTCAGCGACATGACAGAAAGCTAACAGGAACAGTTAGCTCACTAATTTACTGGGTAGATTATTGATATTTTATGTAGTAATTGTATTTTATTGGGCTTGACCTTTATTTAAAGGTAGAATACACTGTTTAAAACAATCAAAATAATTATTTAAATTGAAATTTGGTCTCTGGTGCTGCTGGGAATTTATTTTATTTGTTTATTTATTTATCAGTTTATGAAAAGAATGAGCAAAAACGTAATCTTCTAAAAAAAAATCAATTCTTATCTGTAGCTGTGGACATGACGCTTGTTTGTTTGAAATGTTTATTTCAGACCACTGATACAAAATACAAAACAAAGAAAATACAATTATTAACAAGAAAAACAGAGCCTACATTGATTATCCTCAAGGTTAATATGTCTAAGATCAAAATAAGGAGCTGATGCAACATCTTATACAAATCCAGTTCATTAATTATCTACAATTTCATAATGGGGATAACATTTTATCTTAAAGGTGCTCATTGTATTCACACACATTAATATATATGGAAAACAACCAGGCACCAAAGTCAACATTTGTAACTTTTAGTTACAAATGTTGTCTTTGGTGCCTGGTTGTTTTCCGTTTGTGTGTGAAGGACAGGAATTAACTTAAAACACTTTGTAGAATGGTACTTTATGAAGTTCTGTTCATTTCTTTGCATTAAATGACCAACAGTTGTGCCACATTTAAAATGGTGGACGCTCTGATGTGCCACTGCAGCAGGCCAGCCTGATCAACGGGGCATCTAGTATGTACTGTATATATATATAGAATATATGGTGTTAGGAGGCCTGACTAGCATCTTAGCTAGTGCATCTGTATTGTGTACCACAATACAGTTGTCGGCAGTTGTCGACCAGGGGTGGGGGGTGGTGTTAGGATGCAAGAGAGAAGCGGAGTGTACTCTATTCACACAAGGGGAGCTGTTGGTCAGGCTACTTCTTGTTGCTCTCTAAAATAGTTATTGAATCAAGTGTTTACTTATGTAGGTAAATGTAAACGTTTAGCACCTTGTTAAAATACACCAGAATGCAGGAAATGGCATCTACTTTAGTCAAAATTTTCTGGGGGAGGACCCCCAGACCTCCAGTGTGTGCCCCCTACATTACAAATGCTTCTGACATCAATGGCCACCGCGTTGTTCAAATCAAGAGCCACTGTCAGCACTGGAGGGCTAAGCCCTTAAAGCTCAGATTCTAGAATCGCCCCTGACGAACACGCCCTCAAACTTCTGACCCATCACACGATCCTTGGCGCGCAGGCCTCTGAGAAAAAGTTCATCCTGGGCCTTGTGTCGAGAATGATTATGATTTTTCTTGTTTTTCTGGGTCGGTCTTCATGACGGTACAAAAACAAAGTTAATAGTTTCGTCCTGGTCACTCAGTACCCCTCAATATTTGGATGAGTCAGGTGTAAAAATAAATGCAGTATTTAATCAGTGTCTCCTCTTGTTGTTCTGCAGAGTGATCGTCATGGACAGAGGTCACATTTGTGAGATGGACACTCCGGCCAACCTCATCTCACAGCGGGGACAGTTTTACCGAATGTGCCTGGAAGTCGGCTTGGTCTAAGCCTCTTTAACGGGCCTTTTCTCTGAGAACTGAGGACCTGCTGTACAGACGTGGCACCTTTTGTTGTGTGTGGCTCTTCGACGGGGCCATCTCAAACTTTGTGGCATCTCAAAAACTCTCTCGGCGAGGGCATTGCCGATGAATTTCAAGAGCAGCTGCTAACACATCCCTTCAGTATTTGTTGTTGTTGTTGTTTTATTTTTAAACACAAAGACACCTTGTTGTAATTCAGGAAAGACATTTGTTAACTTCATTCAAAACAAAGCTATTGTTTATTTTTGAGTCTTAAAGTGATAAACAGAGCAGTGAAGTTAGTTTTGTCTTTAAAAGTTTAAGCCAAAGGCTGAATTGAAAGAGTACCGCAAATCTTAATGAGTTTTATTCTCTTTAAGGATGAGTGTTTTGTTGGTTTTTTTTGTTTTGTTTTTTTTGTCTTTATAAAGCACATCATATTTATTGATGTTGTCTCAGGCTTACACATGTATGTTTACTCACACTTTATTAGCCTTGTATACCAAAAAAGAGGCACTTTTGTACTTGTCGACTGATAAAAGTCCATGTTTTTGTTCTCGGCTCAAAAAGTGGGACAGAAACTCTGACACACTAACCTTCACAAGGTTCACGCTGGCAAACGCAGGGAAATGAGGTTTTGACAGCCTTCAAAATTTAAGCTTTAGTTCCATTTTTATACATCAGGGTGATGGAGGAAACAGAGAAGTAAGCCAAGACATTAGCAATCGTCCAACTATGTTGTGGCTGTTGTTTATTTCTGTCAAAGTAAACACATAAAAAAGTCAATAGAGACCTTGTTGGTCAAATTTAACCTGACACCGGTAGTGAAAACCACCATGAATGAAGAGAATGCCTCTTAAAAACAATGGTAATAAAGCTCTACGGGTTGTCTGAGTGGCTACACCACACAACTCGGGCCATACCGTACACGGAAAGAGGAAAAAAATATATATTTTTCTTATGGTGCTGACATGACAGACTGTAAATAGTCCACACAAAGTTTTAGACTTGATTCAAAGAAAGAACCCTGTGACCCTTTCAGAGAAGTGTTTACTGTTTTTCTTTTGCTGGTTTAGACAATTTATTGTAAGAAAAACCCACGTGTTTATTTATGTCTTACTGTATGACAAAATGTATTAAGTGTCCTTAAAAGTTTGGAGGATTATCTTTTTTATTTATACTTTTTATAACAGGCTTGATTATTTTTCACTGACATTTTACTGTTAATGTACTGTTTTGTTTGATGCATCATGCTGGAAAATAAAATTTATTTGAATCTGTGGTTATGTCTGACTTCACATTTATGACTGATTGTGTTTTCATGGAGAAAATTCACGCATAGGATTTATAATAAGATATTCAAAGTTTGGAATAATAGTCATTATTTCTGGATTTAAACAAGTCGAATTGTGAAGTTTATTTTTCTAATTTGTCGGGTTCATTAACAAACTATTGTAGAGTCTTGGGAACTTTCTGATGTTATTCCCCCAACAAATATATAAGGACTATAAAAAGACAAAAAAATGTAAACTATTAACAACAATATGACTAAAAGAATAAAATGCATATTAAATGATTATTCTGTGACATTAAATGACCACAAACAGTTACAGAGGAACTACAGTGGAACCAAATATTACACAAAAACTATTTGGGTTGCTTTGCTTTGATTTTTGTCTCATTAAAGGACTAAATGTGAAACACTAAACAAAATGCCTTCAAATGTGGAAAAAGTATCAAAAGTTACCAGTTTGAGACGAAACAATAATAATACCATAATAAATAAAAATAATACAATAATAATACAATTCAAAACTATAATAATGCCATAAAAAATCAAATAGTACAATAATAATAATAATACAAAACAATAATAATACCATAAAAAAATAATAATACCATAATAAATAAGATATAGAATAAACATACTATAATTACTAAAGTATAAAAGATAAAAAGTTTTTTTAGAGAAACATATTCCTATTTTAAAAGTAAATTTAACATGTTTGTGACGTCATTTATCGCTTTGGTGTAGTTTCAAAGCTCTGCCACTAGATGGCAGACGTCTATAAGACTTGACGTGCAGTAGTTTGTTTATACTTTATTGCAATGGCGACTATGTCGGAGCTAAAAACTGGTAAGTTTTTTCATTCAACCTTTATTTATTTAAAAACTAGTAAGTGCCCTCTTACATACTCATTATTATTTTTTTGCGTACTTGCAGTCTAAACTATTAAGTAGTCCCATTGCACTAAATGCTGTGACAAATAAGAAGCCACAGATACGGGTTAGCTAGCATAGCATTAGCAACCTAACATCATCCCTACCAAACCTCATTAGGAAGTTTGACAATTTAGCAAAATAAGTTCCAGTCATTTGACAGAAAGTTATAGTTTCCAAATAATTCAAGATTTCCTAATTTATTACAATCCACGTTTCATCCGGTATAGCTAAACACTTGATGTATTTAAAATAAATCTAGTATATGTCTAAATAAGGTTGAATGAATAACTCAATTAACTGTTCACTGATGCTAATACAATCAAGCTAGGTAGTTGGGTAGGTTAGTGTGTCTTAGTGTCTGGGGTGGATAAAATAAAAAAAATAAATGTTTAAACATGAGACGATTCGAACGGTACCTCTTGATGATCTTTAAATTGTAATATGAGCCATATTATACCAATGTGTTTTTTTAAGAATGTAAGTGAATTAAAATTATGATAAAAACTGAATGAAGTTCGGTGCGCTTTATATTAGTAGTTAGCTACATTTTCTAACTCGCAGTTTTGGCTGGCTGAATATTTATTGTCATTTCGTTCAGATAACATTCGGACTGTTTGTTTCAGCTGTTCGGGACACGCTGGAGTCCCGTGGTGTGCTGTGTCAGCTGAAGGCTCGTATCCGGGCGGAAGTGTTCGGTGCTCTGGATGACCAGCGTGAACCACGGCCGCTGCTCTCCCACGAAAACCTGCTGATAAACGAGCTGATCCGGGAGTACCTGGAGTTCAACAAGTACAGGCACACTGCGTCGGTACTCACAGCAGGTGGGCAAACACATTAAAGTTACTTTTATATAAATGTATTACAGCTGAAATACTTTACATGCCCATATACTATCCTTTTCAGGTTCACTGTAGTTACCAATGCTTCTTTTGCTTCTTTGGCGTTTCCCTGTTCAGGGATCTCCACAACAAGTCATTTTCCTCCATCTCGCTGTCCTGTCCTCTGCTTCCTCTGCCCTCACTCCAACTACCTCCATGTCTTCATCCATACTGTATCTCCTCTTTGTCTTTATCCTGGCAGCTGCATTTCTAACATCCTGCTACCACTATACCCACTGTCCATCCTATGGACATGCCCAACTCCAAACCATCTCAGTCTGGCCTCGCTAACTGTATCTCTCAGTCCTTCAACCTGCGCTGTACCTCTTTAAAGCTGTACCTCATTCCTGAGGAATGAAAAAATGTAAATTAAACGTAAAAATCACCTTTTCTTGAAAAGGTTGTAAATGTACATCCAATCAGTATTTTGTGGAGGTTTAATTAAAACATGTTAACTGGTTCATGAGATATTTTGCAAACGGGTAAACAAGACTGACTTCCAACAGTTCCATCCATCCATTATCTTTACCCGCTTCTTCCTTTTCAGGTCGTGGGGGTCACTGGTGCCCATGTCCACCTAACACTGTGCGGGAGGCGGGGTACACCCTGGACAGGTGTCCAGTCCGTCACAGGGACACATAGAGCCAAACGAGACAAACAACCATTCACTCTCTCACTCACACCTAGAGACAATTTAGAGTTACCAATCAGCCTAACATGCATGTTTTTGGTCTCTGGGAGGAAACCGGAGTACCCGGGGAAAACCCACGCATGCACTGAGAGAACATGCAAACTCCACCCAGAAAGACCCCCAGACCGGGATTTGAACCAGGGCAACCTGTAAGCTAAAGCTGTGGTGGCCATCTTAAATCTGGTTGACTTGCAAGTTTTTTTTTGTTTGTTTTTTTCATTTCACCTTTATTTAACCAGGCTTAAACACTAAGAACAAATTCTTGTTTACAGTGCTGGCCTGGCAGCAGCAGCAGGTGCTTGTAGGGTCAAGGGAATGGAAGTAAGGCAAAACCATGAACTATATAATTCATTAACAAGCAAGGAACACATTACATTAACAACAGTTCATTGTCTAAGTCCAACAACAACATTACGAAGCATGAAAACATTTGCAAGTATCCTTAAAAATGGCTTTTAAAATATTTTTAAAACTTGAAACTGAGACAAGTGAGATCAGACCCAAAGTTTTTGGAAGCAGATTCCTGTCAGATGGAGCAGCAGAGCCAAAGCGAGACTTGGTCTTTAGAGTTGTTATTCACAAATACTGAGAGGATCGAGTGTTAATGGGACTTAACAATTTCCTGCAGGATCAATAAAGTTCTATCTTTTATCTTATACTGTACTTCGAAACGGGTGCTAACTGCAGTAGCTGAGTTAAATATGGAGGCGACTAACCCAAGTTAATCAGCTGTAGATCTTCACTAATGATTACTTTATCAGTTTCATTAAAATCCATCCTGTGGTTTTGGGGATATTTTGCTAACAGACAGTGAAAAGCAGACATGAGCAAAAACTATTATAGCCCCTTTGCTTTCAGCAGTGAGCGATCATAGGTGTAAGAAGGTTGTATTTACCTTTCAGTATCCAGTTGTCAGTGTAGAGCTGCAGTTCTCAATGATGTTTGTTTTCTTCTCTCAGAATCGGGCCAACCCGAAGCAGCTTTGGACAGACACTTTTTGGCTGATGAGCTGAAGGTTTCAGAGGATGCAAGTTCCAAGTCTGTGTAAGTGTCAGGATTTGGGAAAATCCCACAACAGTCCGCTGTCGAACATGGAATTAGACAATTTATTGGACTTCTCTAAGGTTAAGAGTTCCAGCTGGTTCCAGTCTCAATCTTTTACATTAAAACAGGCAACATATTTTTGGGAGGGGAGAAGAGATGCAAAAGTTGTCTGAGTATTATATCACAGTTTCATTTCTTTTGACTTGTCTTGATGCACCGCTTGAGAAACCCCCAAAACACACAATTCATAGTAACTAACTGATATCCTCGTCAGTCAACCCTGTTTCTACCAGTTTATTCGTGCTGAAGATAAGGGGAAAAAAAATCATAAAAGTTAATAGAAATTTTTTTACATGCTTTGCAGGCCCCTTCTGTACGGATTAGTGTCTCATTTTCGAGACAGCGGTGATCACAGAGGGAAGGTTTTCCTGCGGGGTCTTCACACAGCTCCTGGACAAGAAGAGTAAACTGTGATGTGACCTCCAAAACTCAGGAACTGAAAAGACGCCTCCTCTAGATGACATAATTTTACAGAACCTCACTGAACTCAACATATTTCCTCTTGTTCGTAGTTTTACACTCTGCCGTTTATTAGAGTTACAGTGTAAACTGTATGAAATCCAAAATGAATCGATTACATTTCATTTGTTACTTTAATTTGTCAAATAATTTCCATGACATCTATCAGTTTATTAGCAATACATAATATAGGCTTGTACTTACAAGGTACTACTTTTTTTTAAATTGTACTTTATTAATCCCCAATGGGGAAATTAATTTTCTCTCTAGTACTTATATGGTACGTACATGGTAGCAACATGGTTGCTGTCCTAGTACTTACCTGATAGTTACCAGGTATTACCAGCTAATTACTGTGTATGTACAAGGTGCTTACTGGCTACATACAAAGTATTTACTTATCCATTATTGTTTACATACTTGGTACATACTTGATACTTACCAGGTAAGTACTGGATACTTACTGTACCTGTTATGTACCAGATATTTATCAAGTATATACTGAGTATGTGCCAGGTAGATATAAAGTACAAACCTGGTACTTGCAGGGTTTTCTATCTAGTACTTATATGGTAGCTACATGGCTACTATCCTGGTACTTACCTGATAGTACTAGGTATTACCATCTAGTTACCATGTACATACAAGGTACTTACCGGCTACATACAAAGTATTTACACACCCATTATTGTTTATATACTTGGTAGTACCTACTTGATACTTACTAGGTAAGTACTGGGTACTTACCTGGTATGTACCAGGTATGTATCTATTATGTATGGGGGAGTGGTGGCGCAGAGGTTAGAGAAGGTGGGCCTGTGATCGGAAGATCACCGGTTCAAGCCCCGGTACCGACAACATCAAAAATGTGGGTGGGGTAGGTGAAGCACCCACACCTGCCCCCACCCTCATTCGCCCCATTCTGGGCCCATGAGCAAGGCCCTTAACCCCCATCTGCTCCCTAAACAGGTTTCTCTTGAAAATGAGTTCTCGTGACTCAATGAGACTACCTGGATAAATAAAGGGTAAATGAAAAAAAATGTATCAGATACTTACCAGGTATGTACTGAATATGTGCCAGGTCGGTATAAAGTACAAACCTGGTACTTGCAGGGTTTTCTCTCTAGTACTTCTATGGTACCTACATGGTAGCTACATGGCTACTATCCTGGTACTTACCTGATAGTACCAGGTATTACCATCTAATTACCATGTACGTACAAGGTACTTACCGGCTACATACAAAGTATTTACCGGTACTTACCCCTTATTTTTTTACATGATACCTACTTGATACTACCATGTAAGTACTGGGTACTTACCTGGTATGTATCTGTTATGTACCAGATACTTACCAGGTATTTACTGAATATGTGCTTGGTAAATACAAACCTGTTACTTATCTGTTCTGTACCTGATACTTAATAGGTACATACCAGCTAAATATGGGGTACATAACACAGTACATAACAGGTATGGGATATCTAGTACATATTTGGCATGCGCTTGATATTTACCAGGTATGTACTGGGTATGTATTTGGTCTATATCTGGCTCAGACCTGATACCAGTCTTGTACCTAGTACAAGGTACTGAATACTTATCGTGTACCTGAAACATATCTTTTATGTACATAATACTTAAAGTGCTCATAGCTGGTACATGTTTGACTGGTACTTTATACTAACTGGGTACATACCGGGCTGTTTTATGTATTGCTACCAGAAGTTTTTGTTTGAAGTTTTATTGTTTTTTGTGAGACTTGATCAGTACATTTTCAGCAGTCTTCAACCTGCATTGATTTAAATTGATATTTTGATCCCTTTTTTATATTATGAATGTTTGACATTTTATACATTTTAGAACTTTAAAAATAAATATTTTTTATTTATTAACCTCCGACTGTGATGGTCCTGTTTTTACATCGCACCATGTGGTGGCAGTGTCACTACAAAAAGCCAGGGCTGGTTCTGCACAACATACTAGTACATTTTGTTTTAAATATTATTTTGCCATATTTTTTGTCACCTCAGTTATTTTGAGTTTGATTTCATCACAGGACAGTTTAAAATGTACTGCTGTAGGCAAATATCAAGTTAAATGTGTACCAAATGCAACAAAATGTCATAAAAGTTGGTTTCACTTATTGTTTTTAAGACAATAAAGCTACAACAAAATTGGGAGGGAAAGATAAACCCTTTAGTCAAGAAAAATGTTCACTATTCAATCACATAAAATAAAAATAACTACCAGTACTAGACATTATGTAGTTAAGACCATAATTTAGACTTTCAGTCTTTTAAATGGAAGGGTTTTTTTTACATTTAATGTTTTTAAGTAAAAATAAGTGTTCTTGTTTCACACAGCTTGCAGCTCTTAGCTTTGTTAGCTATTCCAAAGTATGATAATTAAAAAAAAACTAGCATTAAGCATATATTTTTTTTGGTTACTGATATGGTATTTGCTGATTTTATTACTACTAAATATGACAATTCCCTTAAAAATAGATAATCTGAACAACTGAATACGACTTTTTCCACCATTTGTCCTCGACAGCTGTATAAATAGGATTGACTGCAGTCGTTTGCCTGCAGCAGGGCGAAACTGTTTACTCCGAGGCTCAGATTAGAACGTGATTGCATTCCACCAGGGTGAAACATATCCATAAACATATTAATGCTCCAACAGACAACCATCTTTGGACATGAGGGGAGTGAAAATAAAAGCATCACTATACATGCTACACGTGTTTCTTCACGACTGATTTAAACTTAAGAACTGCCGATTTCTCAAGTTGCAATTTAGAAAGAAAAATTATTTAATGTATAAATAGATGCATCACCCACTGCATTCATGAAGGACTATTAGACTGCCTGCAGCTGAGGGTGAGAAATGATGGAGCTGCAGATGGTTTGGTCAACCCTGCTCAGATTATTTGTTGTGAATGACTCTCAGCTACCATCACACAAAAATTTAGCTCTGCCTGTAAAACTGACTGACTTAGAGCAAGTTTTGTGTTTAGAAAATTTGATTAGCTATAGCAGCCATCTTGAACTGGATGGACTTCAACAGTTAAACAGTTGTAGACGTGCAGCCAATAAGTTCTTTCTAAAGGTTTCATTAAAATCTAACTAGTGGCTGATAAGATATTTTGTTAACAGACAGGACTTGACTTCAATAGTTTATGCTAAAATTTTAAGCAAATATCATGACCAATGAGTAGAGTATATGTTGATTTCTCAACTTCTATTGCACCAAATTTTCCATCAATAGCTGTAAAATTGACTGAGTTATAGACATTTTTGTTTCCTAGGGTCAGTTGGCTGCGGTGGCCATCTTGACTTGAGTTTAGTCCAATGATTAATGAGATGTAGCTGCAAACCAAATAATTATTTCTTGAAATTACTTTTTTTTTTTTTTTATCCACTGGTTCATGAGATATTTTTCCAACACTCAGACAGACACGGGAAATAGAAATACATCTACCGTATTTTTCGGATTATAAAGCGGATTAAGTGAAAGTAAAACATTTTGACAGATTTTTGAGCGCCGTGTACCACATACAATCAGTTCGAGGTCAGTAAGCACAACCAGAATTTATACATAAGGCGCACCGGATTATAAGGCTCACTGTTGACTTTTGAGAAAATTAAAGGATTTTAAGTGTGTCTTAAAGTCTGAAAAATACAGTAATGTAACGGTGGGGTTTAAAACACCTTTGAATGTAATTGGGTTTTTATTATCGCCTTCTTTTCAAGTTTTTAACTTTTTACTGCTTTAATAACTATCTTTCTTCTCTTAATTGGACGAGGAGCAGTCTTTAGCTGAAGGAAGTGAAATGTCTGCTTTTTCAGAGGAGAGACTCCTTTATATTTGAAGATTCCTTATATTTCTTAATTTTTACCTTGAATGGATCACAATATATCAAATTAATGATAACATTTGGACTGACACGTTCTCTGATGACATCACACAGCTGTATTACATCTGCTGAAGATGATCGGACAGCAGATTCTTTCATTATAAGACGTCTTGCACGTATCGTCTTTGATTTTCACTTGTCACCTTCACATACTGGTGGCAGAGGTGACTTTGTTTGAACAATGCCGTTGCTGTTGGACCATATTTAGTCACTGGAGTGTGGCGTTGTTGCTCACATTAGACTTTGAAACACAGAACGCTGCTGAGACTCCACTCAGACCCCGCTCTCCTTATATGGAACCCACTGCTGCTTTCATTCCCTCATCGTCCCTCTGTCCCGTCTCTCCTGAGTTTTTCTCTGCTCCACCTCCACGATGTTAATCAGAGGGAGTCCTCCATTCTGGTCTATCACCAGGTTTTACACAAACACACACAGCCACATCGACACACCGGCATGGCGTTTTGCCTCTGGCACAAAACAGGCCACAGATATCAAGCAGCAGCTTGATTTAGTGGCGCAAACAGAACAGTGTCCTTATATAGGAAGCTCCTTTGGGTAGAAACTGGAAACTGGAGGGAAGGAGGGAGGAAGCTGTGATGGAGGAATGTGCTGCGTGGAATACACATATAAGATGTACACATGCACGCGAAAAGAAAGGAGCTTTCGTTATTATCGCCGTCCGACAAAGGCCCATGGCTCTGCGTGTGTGTTCGTTTATCTGTTAGCAAAATATTCCATGAACCACTGGGAGTATTTGAACTGAATGTGAACTCAATCCAATTCAAGATGGCTGCCATACAAAGTGATTTTGGCAATAACAAAAGGGCTACAAGTCAACAGCAATATTAAGCTGAAGATTGGTGTGGTGGTAGTTGAGACTGATCCTCAGCCTACACTCCGAGCACTAACTGATAGCCTAAAGTTTGTGTTTAAACCTGAAATTCACGATGGAAATCAACTCTGTTAGCAAATTATCTCATGGATCACTGGCTGGATTATAGTCAAACCCAACAATGTGCCGTCAGGTCATCTGGATTGTTTCAGTTTTGTGCTGAGATGTTTCACCCTCCATCCAGAGGGCTTCATCAGTCTG